TTTTTTTTTACAAAGTATACTTTCAATGTGACATAAGGTCCACACTCTAGACCTTACTGTATTTGTGCAGAGAAAATACATTTAATTCTTTATCCTAGAAACACACTGCCTTATATGAATGAAAAAAAAACACTTGACTCTCTTAGTCTTGGTACTAGGAAGAAAATGTTAAAAGATTTCATAATTTAAGGGATATATATCACCCACCACCAACATTTTAGCTTCTCCGGTTTCTTAGGAAGCCCCTATCCCACTTGCACCATATGATACCCAGCTGGAGGAAGGAGCTGTATAATTGTATGATTCTAAGGAAAGGGCTTCATCCTGCCAATCCTACTGCCAGAGTCTACTTACTATCAAAATCCTTATTACTTCAAATATTCTTTCTTTGATTTTAGCATGTCTTCCATTACAATATCAACAAAAAAAATCAGAACACAAAGTAATTCAGTCATGAATGGGCTAGCGTCCTTTAGCGGTACCTTCTTCACAGCATGAAAGTGGATGAAGCCGTTTTTGCACAGTAGAGCAAGCTAGAGTTTATGGAGAAACAATGTGAGGAGACCATAATTATTCATTTCCTCTCCACCACCACCACCCCCAACTCCCCCCAGGACAAATGAAAAGAACTAAATGTGCTGAAATTGATGTTGAGACACCAGATTCCATTCTGGTTAATACAAATCTGCGAGCATTGATCAACAAACACACCTTTTCAGTTCTCCCTGGAGATTGCCAACAACGACTGCTTCTACTGCTTCCAGAAGTGGATCGACAGGTATGTTCAAGCCAAAGCCCTCTGTGGCTTCCCTCACTCACTCTCTTTAGAATTACTTAAGAATTTTTTAATAAAACAATGTTTTAAAAAAAATCTTTTGGGTTCTTGTAGAAAAATGATGTTTGTGGTACTAAAGAAGAAATAACACTCTTTTTATGGAAGCAATCTTTTTTTTAAAAATAGCTTTTTTAGCATGTAATCACATATCACACAGTTTAATCAATAATATTAAGAAGAGTTGTGCAATCACCACACAACCAATTTCAGAACATTTTCTTTTCCTCATGATCATTGTTGTTAGCTTCCCATTTCTCCCCTAACCTTCCTTGCCATGCCTCTAAGGTAATTGTTAAACCAGTTACTGTCTTTATAGATTTACCCATCCTGGATTTCTTAGACAGAAAATGAAAGCAGGACACAAAACAAACCATACACAAAATAAAACAAGACAAAAGCCTCAGTAAAAAAGAAGGCAGAAAATATCAAAATCTGAAATAACTTTAAATTGGATCAAAGGGGAGATCACATGATAAGGTGTTATCTTTTGACCTAATCACATTTGTCATAATTGACTTTACAGTGCTCTCTGTCTGATAACAAGGCTTTTCACATCCCTGGACTATGGTCAGAAGGGATTCACCAATAGCTTAAATCCCTTTGGGGATCTTTCAAAAGGATTTTAGGCTTCCACTGTCATCCATAACCTTCTGTAAGCCAGGTGTTCACAGTTTATGCTCTGATCCCATTCCCTCCTTTGGATTTTGATTT